TGGTCTCTGCGCGGCTCTCGGAGTCCACGAGGTGCCCCGAAAGATTCCGAAGTCGTCCATGTTGCGGGCAAAGCCCTTTCCGAAGGCGCCTCAATTGGTTCCAGTCGCCAGAAGCGAGCAGGCTGTCAAGCCACTCGGCCCGGTCCTTCTTCACTGAGTCCTTCACAATCTTGCCCAAGCCTTTCTCGCGTTCAGTGTGGCCCTGCCGTCTTGTCTGTGTGCGGTTCTCAATATGGCGCAAAATGCGGCTCGAGATCCAAGGTCTGCGGTGGGTCAAACTGGCGACTGGGACCGAGGCGCCCACGGCGGCACGGAAAGCGCCCGGCATGCGTCGTTCCATCTCCTCGGCGGAGGCGTTCTCTGGACCAGTTTCAGGAAGATGGGCCGCGAACGTCTGGGCGAAATTGCCAGAGGTCGCTGGAAAGCGCAATGAACTCCAGTCTGGGCGTCCTTGTTTCTTACTCTCTCGGGCCGGTTTCGGGACGAACATGTCCACGTCCGTGAGCAGAAAATGGTGCGAAGCAAGCGCGCGGCAGCAATCGCTGCGCACCATGTTGAGCATGCCGGCCCATTCTGCAGAGATGAGCGTGAAGTCTACCTGGCCGAACTTTGTCGGTGGTCGGCGGATCCTTGGCGGACTTCCCCACGTTGTAGCACGTGATCTGATTATCCGCTGGCAGGTCGAAGAACGTGTTACCAATGATGAGGTTCTGCTTCGTGCACAACTCTGTGCTTCGCCCCAAATTCTCCCAAGGGAGCTACGCTCGTGCTTCGCGCTTCGCGAAACCCGAACCACGTCGTGCTCACTCGACGCGAGGAGGACGCGCAAAATGAGGATGAAGAATCGCGAATCACGCAAACCGCGAATACAGCTGGGCCAAGGATAGAAGAGCATCCTTCAAGAACATGAATCCCTCCGCCGGCCAAAACACATAGAACATTCAAGGGCATCCTCCCCAGGATTCGCAGCAGCATCCAAAAAGCACGAAAAACATTAGGGGACCCTCCCCGAACCGACCTCGATCTTATTCCTCGGCCCGGCCGCAACATGGCGCTCTCGTGGCGGCCCCTCCTCCCCTTCTCCCTCCTCCCTCCTCCCTCCTCCTCCCTCCCTCCTCCTCCCTCCCTCCTCCCTCTCCCTCTTCCCTCCTCCTCCTCCTCCTCCTCCTCCTCCTCCCTCCCTCCCTCCCTCCCTCCCTCCCTCCCCCTCCCTCCCTCCCTCCTCCCTCCTCCTCCTCCTCCTCCTCCTCCTCCTCCTCCTCCTCCTCTCCTCCTCCTCCCCTCCTCCTCCTCCTCCTCCTCCTCCTCCTCCTCCTCCTCCTCCTCCTCCTCCTCCTCCTCCTCCCCCTCCCTCTCCAACCCACGGTGGTCGTGGAGACAGATCGGCCCATCAGCGACGGCCCTTGACTCTCGGGGGGCGTCGGCCGCAGCCGACCAGCTCGCACTCTCGCGGGGCGCGGGCGGACTGCCGCTCCGATCCTGGCGGGGCCGGGGCCCTGGACCCAGGATGCGCCCGTGCAGGATGGGCGAGGCGAAGCTGGCCATCGCTCGGACGTCCATTCCCTGTCTTTTTCGGTTTCATGCGTGGTTTTTTCGCCAAATGATCAAGGATGCTCCTCGATGGTCCTCGCCGAAGGAATAATGCACACGTCCGAGCGATGCCAGGGAAGGGAGATGAAGATCGGGTCGGGCGAATGGGGATAGCAAAAGGGGGGGTTGAGAATCAACTCACGTAGCTGATCTTCCCGGCGCCTCCCGGCGCCGGGAGCGGCTACGTATCGATGAGTGGGCCCCTCGGTGAGGCCGAAGCCAGCTGCACGCAGCAAATTTCGCACCCCCCCCTTTCCCTATCCCCCCCTTTCGTCCGGCCCGAGAAGAGCTGCCGGAGCGGCCCGCGGGGGGCGTCAAGAATCGGGACGCTGCTGGTGCTGACCCGTCCGCATGCCTTTGCTCTTGTCTGGGTGCCCGGTGTTTCCTCCCGAACTCTCTACGGCGGCGTGTCACTTTTTGTTTGTTCCCCGGAGGATACTGCACGTGAGACCCTCGGGAGCCGCCGAGGCGCGACGTCACCGACCGAAACGCAAAACATTGCACGTCTGCGTCCACGGTCAGGAGCTGCCCTTCCCACAACCCGCGGTCTGCACAGTTAACGCCCCCCGAAAGTCGGCCTTCCACAAGGATCAGAAGAAACAATCGGGTCAACGCTGGGCTCGCACTGAGATGCTCGAATGCAGCCGGAGTCGCCCGATCACTGACCCGACGAATCAGTCGCGGAACTGCCGCCCCAAGGCCACAATGCGTCAGGTCAGTAATTACTCGGGCCTCCCAGGCATCACCTGAAAGGATTCGGCCAGTCCAAACGCTGACAAGCCTTTTCCAAGACCTGCGACGTGGGCGCCCCAAAGTCCCAGCACTTCTACCATGGCCGATGTCTCATACCACATCATATTTTGACGGCCATGGGGCTGGCGAGAAGCATCAGAAGCAGAAAACGCTCAAAAAAACACCCCGTCGCGATGTTATAGGCAGCGAGCATGTGTTGGTTATTTGTCCTCAGGGCGGGACCATCGGGAGACGATGCGGGACGAAAGGCCAGCCGGGTGATCGGGAACCGAGCGGGAACTCCGAGGGCCGACGCGCTGAGGAGAGATGGCGATGCCGGAGGTCTTAGTTTACACGTCGTTCATTTCCAATCGTGCTCATTTCTAAGTGTGCTCGTTTCTACTTGTTCCTGGTCCCCTAGTGGCCAGGAAGAGGCCAAGGATAGAACAAGCAGAAAGGAAAAAGGATCTTGGCTCCCCAAAAAATGAAGAACCTTTCGAAGAAGTATAATGGAACAACGTGTATACAGCCGCCGCGATGTCAAGCGCAACGCCAAACCCACACCTCCCTCGCGCCGTGCAAGAAAGCACCACGACGGAGAGCCTGTCGTGACAACTCTTTCCTTCGGCCCCGAGGGCCCCCTGCCAGGCCCCAGGGCCCGTCGAACAGCTGCTCGGGACAATAAAAAAAACCCAAGGAGTGCGCCCGGACCTCCGAATAGGGGGCCACATGCGAACCCTACCCCTGCCCCCCACGGTTCTGAGGGGGAGGGTGGGGTTCACTCGGCTCGGGAGCTCCCGAGCGAAGCGGACCCCACCCTCCCCCTCAGAAATCGTGGGGGGTAGGGGCAGGGTTCGCATGTGGCCCCCTATTCGCAGGCCCACGCCATCAACAAAAAAATCATGGCGTCGGGCTGCCTGGAACTCGGGCGCGAGCGGGCCTGTCTTTCTGGCCGCGGCGAGCCCCGGCCACGGAGAGGCGGCCCGCCCCAGATCCGCGGAGCAGGCCCGCGGGACACCGGAGCCCCCTCCACGTGCCCAGAGCGGCCCTTCTGTCGGCGTCTTGACTGCACCACGAGGTCCGATAGAGTCGGGGCGTTGACCTAAGGAGCCCTAAGTGAGGAACGGGGCCCCTGTCTCCCAACTAAGTTGAACTTCGACTTCCCCTGGAAAGCCGCAGGCAAACCGAGGGCAAACTGCAGAACAATCCAGGAAACCCGAGCCCCCCTCCCCAACGAAAAGGGTTCCTTCTTCAGGGCCCCGACTGTAGCGCGAACCATCTGCAGCATCGTGGCTTTCGGCGCGGGATCGAGCCGGGTCGATGCAGAAGGGTCCAGGGGACCGAGGCTAAGCGAAACAGACCAGAGCGAACGGATGGCAGCGACCAGATCGCGCTTCGCCGGGAAAGTGTGTTATACAATGTGCAAAGATCCTGAGCGCATCCAGGCATCCAGGCGCAGATGCCTCCCCAAGGGCCTGGACCCCATCCCAGGGGCAACTGCTTCATCCCAAATCATTTGTTGACGGTCCTGGGGCCCAACGAGGGCCACCCTAGAAACCCAAAACGGACAAAAAACGTCCGTCTCGGTTTTTTTTGCCAAGATGGTGGCTGTCTCGGGGACGCGCTAACCATGGTCACCACTGACACAAGTCAGCCCGTGCCATGTCGCAACCCCCAGCCGGATAACAGCTCCAAACCTGGGTCAGCGGAGGAACGGAAGGGGGGGTCGTCTCCACGTGGCTCTCAAACCCAAGTCAGCCGAAGGAGTGAGAGGAAATTGGCTGACCCCCATGAGCACGACCCGGGTCACGTGCGTCCCGAGCACACAACAATGAAGACATAACCACACGAACGCAACTCAAGAACGTAAATCCCTTTGCCGAGGGCTCACTATCCCATGGAGATAGCCTAAGAGAAACACATTCCAAGACGGAGGGTCCAACAAATAATAACACAAAGGACCTCCTCCAAAGCTGGGGCATTTCTAAAACCTCGCACAAGCTGTATGCCCGGCTCGCTTCGTCAAGAGATCGTATATTGGCAAGCCAATAGAATACCGTTTCAAAGGCTCCCCGTCTGGACCCCCAAAGCGCCTGGGTGCACGAGTAGTGCTGGAGGAATAGCCCCGGAAGCCCGGAAGGAACATGGCCTGCCTGCACAAAGGGACACGGCCTGCAAAATCAACGATTTGGAGGATGAGCGAACCCTTCCTAAGAGGATTAAGCGTTCCGTGCAACAAGGCAGAACTACTTAGCTGGATGAGCGACTTCGAGACGGGCCATGGCGTGCTGTTTGCGCACTTCGCGCAAGCACAGCCAAACGACCTGCTCAAATCAAAGACCAGGCTGGAAATCTGGTGGAAATCTGGAGATTTCGAAAGTACACGTGTGAAAGATATCAAACCCGAACTCCCGACCAAACAATAGTGACCCGATCGGAGATGTGCTCCCCATCGACAGGAGCACATTCAATATGGAAGAACTGCAAGAAACCCTCAGACGACGATCCGTTCGGCAAACAGAAGGTACAGATAACGTACCACCCGAGTGTTGGAAGCTTTTTTCTGGTAGGGTAGTGCGGAGGCGTTGGAGCCACTGCTTACATTATGCCAGACATGTTGGGGAAAGTGCGACAGACCGCATGAGTGGACAGTTGCATAAGTATCACTACTGCTCAAATCAATGGATGCGAGCTGACCAGAAAGCTATAGGCCCCTATCAGTACGGCCTGTCGGACGCAAGGTCGTACCAAATATGGTACAACAGAGATGACAAGTGGGAGGTGCAACAAGACGAATGCATCAAACACAATTTGGCTTCGGGCCTCGACGAAGAACCGTGCAAGCTGTTTCCAGTGCGCGCAAGATGTTCGACGCTGCGCACGCGTCGGTGTCGCCTGGATTCCTGACTATGTTTGTGTACCGGGCGAAAGCATCTGACATAATAAAGCACGACACTCTCATTAAAACGCTGGGCAGATTTGGTATCCCAGAGCGGATGGTGCATTTCATGACAGGTGTGTATGGTGAGCGATAATTTGTAGTAGGGGATCGTGGGGGGAATTCAACTGGACGGCGACCGCGCGCTGACATCACTCAAGGCTGCCCGCTCTCTCCCTATTTGCTCATCATTGTACAGTCGGTGATGTGTTTCGACGTTGACAGCAAAATGCGTGACAGAGGCGACGCTGTCGAAAAAACACCGTATGCCGTGTGCTCTGATCTGTAGTGCGCGGACGGTGCCATGCTCGTCAGCAGCTACACAAATTAGCCTGGCGAAGAACCCAACCATATGCAGTTGTCAGTACCGCAGCTGCGGGTTTGATCTTCAATGGAACTCCCCATAGGATTACGGAACGTGTGAGGGGTGTGCCGAGATGGGTGCCACTGGGGCATTCGGCGAAGCTCCCTATGGGGACATGAAACACGCGCGGGGCGTGCCGACATGGGTGGCGGAAACGCATGTGCGGGCCGCCACTGGGGCCTCCAGTGGAGCTCCCTATGGGTCCCCGAAACATGATGCTGCTGCGGGGGGGGGGGCCGGGATGGGTGGCGGAGACGCATGTAAGCGCCGCTACTGGGGCCTTCGGTGGAGCTCCCTATGGGGCCACGAAGCGCGTGAGGGGTGTACTGGGATGTGTGGCGGGGACGCATGTGAGCGCCGCCACTGGGGCCTTCGGCGCAGCTCTCTATGGGGCCACGAAACGTGTGAGGGGTGTGCCGAATTGGGTGCGGGTGGTGACGCATGCGGGCGGCAGCACTGGGGCCTTCGGTGGAGCTCCCCATGGGGCCACGAAGCCTGTTGTTGTGAGGGGCGTGCCGGGATGGGTGGCGGGGACGCATGTGAGCGCGGCTGCTGGGGCCTTCGGTGGAGCTCCCTATGGGGCCACGAAGCGTGTGAGGGGTGTGCCGAATTGGGTGGGTGTGGGTGACGCATGTGAGCGCCGCCACTGGGGCCTCCGGTGGATGATGGGGCCACGAAACCTGTCAGGGATGTGCCGAACTGGGTGTGCGGGACGCATGCGCATGTGAGCGCCGCCACTGGGGCCTTCGGTGGAGCTCCCTATGGGGCCACGAAACGTGTGAGGGGTGTGCCGAAATGGGTGTGGGTGACGCATGCGGGCGCGGGCACTGGGGCCTTCGGTGGAGCTCCCTATGGAGCCACGAAACGTGTGAGGGGTGTGCCGAAATGGGTGTGGGTGACGCATGCGGGCGCGGGCACTGGGGCCTTCGGTGGAGCTCCCTATGGAGCCACGAAACGTGTGAGGGGTGTGCCGAAATGGGTGTGGCTGACGCATGCGGGCGCGGGCACTGGGGCCTTCGGTGGAACTCCCTATGAGCCACGAAGCGTGTGAGGGTGTGCCGAAATGGGTGGGCTGACGCATCTGGGGCCTTCGGCGGAGCTCCCTATGGGGCCACGAAGCGTGTGAGGGGTGTGCCGAAATGGGTGTGGGTGACGCATGCGGGCGCGGGCACTGGGGCCTTCGGTGGAGCTCCCCATGGAGCCACGAAGCGTGTGAGGGGTGTGCCGAAATGAGTGTGGGTGACGCATGCGGGCGCGGGCACTGAGGCCTTCGGTGGAGCTCCCTATGGAGCACTGGTCGCCCCAGGTTCGCCCGCCGCCCCGCGGTCGCTCGGCCCATCGGCCGGCCCAATTCCATGGTTTTGATTGTTTTTGTTTCTTTGTTTTCGCTTGTCCGTCGGCTGCGCTGGTCCCTCCAAGCTCGCCCGCCGCCTTTCGGTCGCTGGGCCCCTCGGCTGGCCCAGTTCCTTGGTTTTGTTTGTTTTTGTTTGTTTTCGCTTGTCCCTCGGCTGCACTGGTCGCCCCAAGCTCGCCCGCCGCCCCGCGGTCGCTCGGCCCCTCGGCTGGCCCCATTATTTGGTTTCGTTTGTTTTTGTTTGTTTTCGCTTGTCCGTTTTTGGAGGCAGGCGGCGGGCGAGCCTGCGGCAAACAGTGCAGCCGACAGACAAGCGAAAACAAACAAAAACGAACGAAACCAAATAATGGGGCCAGCCGAGGGGCCCAGCGAACGCGGGGCGGCCGGCGAGCCCGGGGCGACCAGTCCAGCCGACGGACAAGCGAAAACGAATGAAAACAAACAAAACTAAAACATTGCGCCAGCTGAGGGGCCGAGCGACCGCGGGGCGGCGGGCGAGCCTGAGGCGACCAGTGCAGCCGACGGACAAGCGCAAACACACAAAAACAAACAAAACCAAGGAATTGGGCCAACCGAGGGGCCGAGCGGCCGCGGGGCGGCGGGCGAGCCCGGGGCAACCAGCGCGGCCGGCGGACAAGCGAAAACAAGTAAAAAAACAAACGAAACCAAAGAATTTGACCAGCCGAGGGGCCGAGCGACCGCGGGGCGGCGGGCGAGCCCGAGGCGACCACTGCAGCCGACGGACAAGCGAAACACACACACACACACACACACACAAACAAAACAACAACAAACAAAAAAAAACGAAACCAAGGAATTGAATTGGGCCAGCCGAGGGGCCGAGCGACCGCGGGGCGGCGGGCGAGCCTGAGGAAAACAGTGCAGCCGACGGACAAGCGAAAACATTGTGCCAGCCGAAGGGCCGAGCGACCGAGGGGCGGCGAGCCCGGGGGCGACCAGTGCAGCCGACGGACAAGCGAAAACAAACAAAAACAAACGAAACCAAATAATGGGGCCAGCCGAGGGGGCCCAGCGACCGCGGGGCGGCGGGCGAGCCCGAGGCGACCAGTGTAGCCGACGGACGAGCGAAAACAAACAAAAAACAAACAAAACCAAGGAATTGGGTTAGCCCATGGGGCCCAGCGACCGCGGGGCGGCGGGCGAGCCCGAGGCGAACGAGCGAAAAAAAACAAAAACAAACAAAACCAAGGAATTGGGCCAGCCGAGGGGCCGAGCGATCGCGGGGCGGCGGGCGAGCCTGAGGCGACCAGTGCAGCCGACGGACAAGCGAAAACAAACAAAAACAAACAAAACCAAGGAATGGGGCCAGCCGGGGGGCCGAGCGATCGAAAGGCGGCGGGCGGGCTTGGGGCGACCAGCGCAGCCGACGGACAAGCGAAAACAAACAAAAACAAACGAAACCAAGGGATGGGGCCAGCCGGAAGGCCGAGCGACCGCGGGGCGTCCTCGGTCATCAGTCCTCAGTCCTCAGTTCTCAGTTCGCAGTCCTCCACTCTTCGATTCAGTCCTCAACTCCTCCACTCTGCTCCTCAGTCCTCCTCCCCCCTCCTCTGCTCTCCACTCCTCCACTCCTCGACCCTCGACACGTCGGCGGTCGGCGGCCGCGACGACGACGGCCCTGATCCCTGATGCCCTGCTCCCTGCCGGCGCCCTGGCGGCGATACCGACGGCGGCGGGGGGCGGAGAAGAGGGCGGGGGGCGGGCGGGGAGGGGGGGGCCGGCGAGCCTGAGGCGACAAGTGCAGCCGACGGACATGCGAAAACAAACAAAAACAAACAAAACAAAGGGATGGGGCCAGCCGAGGGGGCCCAGCGACCGCGGGGCGGCGGGCGAGCCCGGGGCGACCATTGCAGCCGACGGGCAAGCGAAAAAAACAAAAAACAAACAAAAACCAAGGGATGGCGCCAGCCGAGGGGCCGAGCGATCGAGGGGCGGCGGGCGAGCCTGGGGGACAAGCGAAAACAAACAGAAACAAACGAAACCAAGGAATTGTGCCAGCCGAGGGGCCGAGCGACCGCGGGGCGGCGGGCGAGCCTGGGGCGACCAGTGCAGCCGACGGCCAAGCGAACAAAAATCAAAAAACAAACAAAACCAAGGAATGGGGCCAGCCGAGGGGCCGAGCGATCGCGGGGCGGCGGGCGAGCCTGGGGCGACCAGTGCAGCCGACGGACAAGCGAAAACAAACAAAAGCAAACAAAACCAAGGAATTGGGGCAGCCGAGGGGCCGAGCGATCGCGGGGCGGCGGGCGAGCCTGAGGCGACCAGTGCAGCCGACGGACAAGCGAAAACAAAGAATTATGAAATCTGGTTGCACCCCTCACGCAGATCGGCGGGGTCAGGGTGCAAAAACACATAGGGTTTGCCACATTTCTGAAATTCGATTGCACCCCTCACGCAGATCGGCGGGGTCAGGGTCGAAAAACACAAGGGAATTGCCACATTTCTGACATTCGGTGGCACCCCTCACGCAGATCGGCGGGGTCAGGGTGCAAAAAGCACAAAAAGGATTCTCTACATTTCTCAAATTCGATTGCACCCCTCACGCAGATCGGCGGGGTCAGGGTCATAAAACACAAGGGAATTGCCACATTTCTAAAATTCGATTGCACCCCTCACGCAGATCGGCGGGGTCAGGGTCGAAAAACATATAGGATTTGCTACATTTTTGAAATTTTGCACCCCTCACGCAGATCGGCGGGGTCAGGGTCGAAAAACACATGGGATTAGCAACATGTCTAACATTTGATTGCACCCCTCACGCAGATCGGCGAAGTCAGGGTCCGAAAACCAAGGGGATTCTCAACATTTTTGAAATTCGTTGGCACCCCTCACGCGGATGGACAAGGTCAGGGTCCCAAAACACAGGGAATTCGCCACATTTCTGAAATTCGGCGGCACCCTTCGCGCAGATCCGTAGGGTCAGGGTCCAAAAACACAAAAGATGTGCCACATGTCTGAAATCCGGTGGCACCCCTCTCTGGAAAACAAACATTCCCGACACTGCTTCACGGCGGCGCCCAGACCCCATGATTTAGCTTTTGCATCTCCCATTATCCGAAACAGGGGGCCCGCGGCATGGGGCGAAGCCCTTACGGAAAATAATTTGTAGTAATCAACTTTCAACAGCAACAACGACGACGACGACGACGACGACGACGACGAGAACAACAACAACAACAACAACAACAACAACAACAACAACAACAACAACAACAACAACAACAACGACAACAGCAATCATTCTTAGACTGTTCGCTCTTACTTGCCCGCGTGTCATTCAAAACGAGTTCCCCACACCCTCGATACCCGCCCTTTTCGTCTTCGATCACACCCCCTTTGGGGGGATTAGTTCTCTTTGCGGGGGGCGGCGGGCTTAGACAGGCGGGCAAACTTGAACGGGCGGACAACCCGTCCTGGGCGTACATGTGCCCGCCATTGGAATTGATGCGGGCCCTGCAAAAAGAGGAGGGAGAGAACGAGGGAGAGTGGGAGGAAGTAAGGGGGAGGGACGAACGAAGAGGGAAAACGCCACGAGAGAAGGAGCGAAGAGGAGGGCGGTTGATTAGAGGCAGAGAGAAAGAGAAAGAGACAAACAAGACAGCCAAGAGAGGTAGAGAAAGAGAAAGAGAGAGAGAGAGAGAAGGGAGAGAGAGAGAGAGAGAGAGAGAGAGCGAGAGAAAGAAATAACGAAAAAAAGAAATCAATAAAGAGGGATGGAGGAGGCAGTAGAGGGGAGGGAGAAGGGAGGACGGAGAGGAAGGAGAGGGGATAGGGCAGAGAGGCATAAGGATGAGGGAAGAGATGAGGGAGAGGAAAGGGAGGAGAGGAGGGAGGAGGATGGAGAGGGAGGAGGAGCAGGAAGGTAAGAGCGTGAACGTTCGAGGAAGTCCTAAGCGAAAGCGCCGTTCCTGAAGGAAGTCTCGGGCGGGAGCCCACGACGGGCGGGCGGTCCCCTGACGGGCGGGTCGGGCGGGTGGGACATTCAAGCGGGATGTCTGAGTATGGCGAGAGCGCGATTACTGAGAGCGAGATTACTAAGTAAATTGTAACGGCGTCCTTGGCGCAGTGTGTTTCCTGAGCGTCGAAAGCGCGATTTCTGATTAAATTGCATGGAAGTTACAGGCGAGAGCGCAGTTCCTGAAGAAAATGTGAATGGCTCTCTGGCGGGAGCGGGGGTCCTGATTAAATTGCAAGGAAATGTTGATTCAATTGTGAGGAAGTCTCAGGCGGGAGCGCCGTTCCTGAGTACATTGTGAGGAAGTCTCGGATGGGAGCGGGGGTCCTGACTAAATTGCGAGGAAGTCACAGGGGGGAGCACCGATCTGGAGTAAATTGTGAGGAAGTCTCTGGAGCGGGGGTCCTGAGTTTATTTGGAGGAAGTCTCAGGCGGGAGCCGTTGTTGTTGCAATCCCCAGGGGCCAAGTTTGAGCACCAAGACTTTCCCCTGTCAAAAAACAGGGTGCGAGCGTCGACGGGCACACTTTGATTTAGAAAAAACAGCATGCACCGGTGAGGGTGGATTAACAAAAACATATTTTCCCGAAATGAACATTCAACAGTAGCAATAGTAATAGCAACACCAACAACAAGCACAAAAAAATCAGCACCACCACCAACAACGCCAGCAACACCACCACCACCACCACCACCACCAACAACAACAACAACAACGAAACACGGGGGACACGACGCAACAGATCAGGGAGCAACAAACGAGGCCGCAACCAGGGCGCAAGAGGGTGGTCTCAAAGCCCTGCTGCCATGGCCGGAGGAGAAGTGCGACCCTCCCTGGTGGCCACCCCCTCCGAGACATCCGCCGATGCGGGACGGGAAAATGACCACAGCCACTGCTTCTTGTTTGCGCCGCCTTCCAGCCGGCCGAAAAAGAAGCAGTGGTTGTGGTCATTTCCCTGGTGCCGCAAGCTCAACGAAAATGACCACAACCACTGCTTTCTATCTGCGGGCTGGAAGGCGGCAACAAAAGAAAAGCAGTGGCTGTGGTCATTTTCACGCCCCGTAGCCGATGTGAATCGCATCGGCGCGCCACCCCCGTTGCCCGAAGCGAGGCAACACGCCGGGGACTGAGTACGCCACGCCGCGGGAAAGATGGGCCGGGCACGCTGCCCGGTGTACGGCCCCCCTGCAGTCAACCAGTACAGTAAGGCTGCGCGGTAAGGGTGCCAGGGCCTTTGGAAGCCCCTTGCGAAGCTTTTCGAGCGGGGGGCGGCCAGCAAAAGCGGCGAAGGATGGACCGAGGAGGCAGGGCTGCAAGGGTACCCCTGGGAAGGTTGCCCATGCTTGCTATGCGGGTTGGCTGTCATGCCCGGGATGGGCCCGGCCGGGGCCAGACAGGGGCGCAGAAGGCGGGCGCCCCTCCCGCCTCAGCGGTGGCGAGCCGCCGCTTCTTGCGGGTCCTCTCGAGCTCCGTCGCGTCCTCGTGCGGGGGGGGCTCCCTCGGAAAGCTCCAGGCCCCTTTCCTCGAAGATCGAGCGACCCAAGGTTTCCGGGGGTTCTCGCCGTCAGGGCTGGCGGCGGCTCGAGAGACTGGCCAGGATGGGCTCAGGGGGGAGGAGGAGGAGGAGGAGGAGGAGGAGGAGGAGGAGGAGGAGGAGGAGGAGGAGGAGGAGGAGGAGGAGGAGGAGGTGGACGAGGAGGAGGAGGAGGAGGAGGAGGAGGAGGAGGAGGAGAGCCTGGAGTTGAGCGACGATCAGAGCGGGTCTGACGCGATGTGACATTACGCCGTGGATTGCGCGGGCCGCCAGCGCGGCACACCTCGTGGGGAGCAAGGGCGCTACCGCGCGGCCCTACGCGGGCAGCCTGCGCGCCAACGTCGGCGCACACGACCTCGATTTTGTTTTTTGCGTCGCTCAATTCTCCAAGTAGGCTTGCCCTCTAGGACTTCTAATTCAGACCCTGCTAATTGGTCGGTTGCCTCCCCCGCCCTCACTCCTCTGCCCCCCATAACTCCTATGGCTAAGCCTATGCCTCCCCCCTAACTCCTATGCCTACGCCTATGCCTACGCCTATGCCTATGCTCGCTTGCGCTTGCTTGATTGCGCTTGCTTGATTTTGCTCCTCCCGTCCTCCTCCCGTCCTGCTCCTGTCCTCCCTTCGTCCTCCTCCCGCCCTCCTCTCGTCCTCCTCCTGTCCTCCTCTCCACCTGGAGCCAGCGCTGCCCGACATGGCTTTTGCACGGATCTGGGCGGACCCCCTCGCGGACACCAGGCGACACCTGGGCACACCCCATCCGCGCACGCTGTGCACAGGAGGCGCCCACGAGGCGGCGACGGGCGGGCACCGCGCGAAGCCCGGCACGCCCACCCGGCGCACGAGGCGCCCACGGGGCGCCCACGGGCCGGGCACTCGTCAGACCTCGGGATCACCCCTTCCAGCGCACGAGGCCGCACACGGCGCCCGAGCGCCCATGAGAGGGCGGGCACCGCGCGAAGCCTCGGCGCGCCCACCCAGGCGCACGGGGCACGGACGAGGCGCCCGGGGGCGGGCACCAGAGGCAGGACCTCCGCACGCCTCCCCGGCGCACGGGGCGCCCGCGGGGAGCTCACGGGCGGGCGCCCGCCGCTTCCTCGGCACGCCCGTCCCGCGCACGGGGCGCCCACGAGGCGCCCACTGGCGGGCACGGGGCGAATCCTCGGCACACCCACCACGGACGAGGAGGAGGAGGAGGAGGACGAGGAGGAGGAGGAGGAGGAGGAGGAGGAGGAGGAGGAGGAGGAGCGCACGGGGCTTCCACGAGGGGCACACGGGCGAGCTGCAGGCAAAACCTCAGCACACCCACCCAGCACGAGGCGCCCTCGAGGCGCCCCGGGACGCCCCCCCGACCGGGCACACGCCGACACCCCAGCACACCCATCCAATTCCTTTGTCACAGCGGTGAGGAACCCTGAGTGCAAGCACACATGGGGGAATTCATTGATTGTCGTCGACGCTGCGGTCCCCTCCCACCCTGCCCTCGCTGTCCCCACCACCCAAGACTTGGAGAGTGGTGGATGGAACGGTGTGGAGGTGGTTGTGGGAAGGCCGAAGGAGAGGAAGACGTAGGACGATGAAAGGGGGATAATGCTGATGATGATAATGCTGATGCTGATGCTGACGATGATGATGATGATGCTGATGATGATGATGGTGATGGTGATGCTATCTATTTATGATGATGATGAGAATGATGAGAATGATGGCAATGATGATGATGATGATGTTGATGATGATGTGGATGATGATGGTGATGATGATGATGACGATGATGATGATGATGACGATGATGATGATGATGCTGATGCTGACGCTGCTTCTGACGATGATGATGCTGATGATGATGATGATGATGATGAGGAGGAGGAGGAGGAGGAGGAGCGCAGTGTAGAAGTGAGGAGGGAAGGAGGAGGAGGAGGAGGAGGAGGAGGAGGAGGAGGAGTAGGAGGAGGAGGAGGAGGAGGAGGGGGAGGCTGAAGAACACTATCCTCATAAAGCCATCCCAGGGCCATTTGCTCCGAGCTTCCCCGAGTAACTTTTTCGCCCCCAAGAGGAGGCAAAGTCCTCGCGCTGCCGCTGGTTGCGCTGCTTCCGCGCCGCCATCAGCTCGCGGGAGAGCTGGTCATACGTGCCTCGGCGGGGTGAGGGGAGGTGACGGGCTGAGGGAGGAGGTGCGGAGCGGGAATTGCTCGCTTCTTTACTTTATCATCCCTCATCGTCGCTCCTCCGCCCCATCATGATCATAGCGCCCCCCTCCATCCTTCAATCCCCAGAACTCTGCAGACCTGGTCGTGCAAACAGAAGGACTGGTTGAACAACACCAACACGTCCTGTGCCACTGTTGGTACTTGCAGGAGCGCCATGCGAGCACAAAACCAAGACCAAAAGACACACTCTTGCCCCCCCTCCTCCTTCTTCCTTCCTCCGTCCTGTGGCGGCACGGACTAGAAGGTAGGGGGAGGGGGGAAGGCTTCTTACAGGAGGCTGCGTCCTAGAAGGCGCCGGCCGTACATCTAATTACACGCAAGGCCTGCGCCTTCTACGAAGCAGGGGTGCTTCCAAGAAGCCTTCCCCTCTCCTCCTACGCCCATCTGCGCGTGGCTGAGTCCTCTCGTCGGGTCGGGCGAAAGGGGGGGATAGCAAAGGGGGGGTTTGAGAATCAGTTCACGTAGCTGATTTTCCCGGCGCCTCCCGGCGCCGGAGGCGGCTATGTATCGAGGAATGGGCCCATCGGTGGGGCCGAAACCAGCTGCATGCAGCAAATTTCGGAACCCCCCCTTTCCCAATCCCTCCCCCTTTCGCCCGGCCCGATCTCGTCCGGGCGCAGGGGGAACTGCCCACGACGATCCAGGATCGAAGATGATGCGACTGGCTCAACATTCGGGGATGGGCAGACCTCCCTTTAGTAAAACGTGGTTTAGTGAAAACGACCTGAGGCCCAAACCTGGCGGGCGCAAGCCTGGAAAATAACGGCCACGGCGTCCTCTCGAGAACCGAAAACGGACAATTCACTAATCGACGTGTCACTGTTGGGGGTTCTGTCCACCTCCGAAACATACGTCCCAGGAGCTCCAGGGTAGCCGGGGGCCCCCGTCCGCGGAGCCCGCGCGCATCAGCGGGGAGGCCTGGAACGCATCGGTATCAGTGTACTTTGAATGTTTCTAGATTGTGAGCATTTCTGAATTTTGCTTGGAGCACCTCCTCCTCCCCCTCCCCCTCCTCCTCCTCCTCCTCCTCCTCCTCCTCCTCCTCCTCCTCCTCCTCCTCCTCCTCATCCCCCTCCTCCTCCTCCTCCTCCGAGTTATGTTGATCGTCTCAAAAAACAAGTTGCTCGACCTCATCAGCACCCGGAGGAGGCCGGGGGCCGCCCGGGAGCCTCTGGGGCCAATTGTGGGCCCCGCGGCGGGCAAGACAGGGCCACGAGGGCACCCGATCCTGCTACCCTTAGGTCGGGCCTGTCCCCCTACAGGGGGATTTTGGGTGAGAAATATAACATACTCAAGAAATACCCCCCAAATACTAAAAATAATCAAAACATCGCCCCCAGACTATTTTTTAACTATTTTTGAGTATTCCCTCTTTAGAGGGACAGGCCCGACTTAAGCGTACAACCGAAGAGTTCAACCACCTCAATAGCAAAGCTCGGCTTGCTGCAGCATCTGTGCCCGCGCGGCGCAGGCGAACATTTCACAAGGCGTATGAGCTGAGTGACCTCGACGGGCTGTAGGCATACGATGGCGCGTTGGCCTGCGACGTCTTCCCCTGCATCAGAGAGGAAGGCCGCCAACCCCAGACGCTTGTCCAGGTGCCAGAGGGCAAGGATATAGAGTGCCTGCGCATCCAAGGCCTGCTCGCACGCGAAGCTACATTGGCAGTCCACGTAGTCGACCCTCCTCCCCATCGACCTCCCACCACCAGAGGCTTTGATGGTGGACATTTGCCAGGCAGGGGAGATAGCCAACAAGCGGGCTTTTGAACTGGGCCAGCGTGGCTGCCAGAACCTGAGGCGAGAGAGGACGGGTGGCCCACGGTCTCGGGGCGGCGCAGCCGCTGGAAGGCGTCCTGCGGCTGGAACGCCGCCGAGAACCGACGAAAACCTCCAAGAACCACCCCGAACCTCGAGCCTCCCTACCCTGACGTTGTCAGCCGAGCCCCCCCCGTCAGCCGAGCCCCCCCCCTAACTTAACGGGCGAAGAACGGTATAACATAAACTGTTTCGCCGTCGGGGACACCTGCCCCAGGCCGGCTGGAAAGATCATACCCTTACGGTGGCACCGTAGGGGTATAAACTTTCCAGCCGCCGTCGGGGCAGGTGTCCCCGACGGCGAAAAAGTTTATGTTATACCGTTCTTCGCCCGCGGACTAACGCTGCCCCTGACTCGGGGGGGCGCGTTGGACCGCTTCGGCGCCGCGTTGAAGCCTTCTCGTCCGTTTCGGCGGCAATGCGGGGCCCCTGACCCGCCCCGCGCGCCGCCGCTGCCGCGCGCGCGGCGGTCGCACTTGCGCGACGCGGAGTTCCGCGGAAGGCCCCGACGGCCTGGCTGGGGGCGCGGTGGAGCCGCGCCTGCGCCGGCAGCGCCCCTGGCGGAGCCAGGGGGGCCGGCTGCTGGCCGCCGGGGCTGGTACGGCTTGGACTCACCCCGAGATGAGAGCCGAGCAGAGATGCCGAGAGCTCCAGGCCACTCCCTCTCCTCCTCCTCCTCCTCCTCCTCCTCCTCCTCCTCCTCTTCTCCTCCTCCTCCTCCTCCTCCTCCTCCTCTCACCTCCTCCTCCTCCTCCTCCTCCTCCTCCTCTCCTCCTCCTCCTCCTCCTCCTCCTCCTCCTCCTCCTCCTCCTCCTCCTCCTCCTCCTCCTCCTCCTCCTCTCCTCCTCCTCCTCCTCCTCCTCCTCCTCCTCCTCCTCCTCCTCCTCCTCCTCCTCCTCCTCCTCCTCTCTCTCCTCCTCCTCCTCCTCTTTCTCCTCCTCCTCCTCCTCCTCCTCCTCCTCCTCCTCCTCCTCCTCCTTCCCCCCCGCCCCCATCGCGCGGCCGCGTGCCACGTGCCGGGGCGGGGGGGGGGGACCGCTGGCCGCCGAGGCGCCGGCGCTCCCTCTCGACCAGGGAGATGGCGGAGGAGCCCCAGCGCTCGTCCTGGGGCTGTGTTTGGGCGCCCGAGTTATCCGGGGTAACTCGGGTCTGGGGTAACTCGGGTTTGGGTTCCCGAAAAAGGAACCCGAGTTAGCCCTGACCCGAGATACCCCTGATGATTTGGGGCTCTGGACGCCCGAATTATCCGGGGTAACTCGGGTCCGGGGTAACTCGGGTTTGGGTTCCCGAAAAAGGAACCCGAGTTACCCCTGACCCGAGTTACCCCGGATGATTCGGGGCTCTGATGTGTCGTCCCCATCGTTCTTACAGGCCACATCCCAGAGACGATGTCGAGCACCCAGACAGGCATCGAACGAGTGTCTGTCCGACACGTTGGGGGGAGTGTCGAACGAGTATCGCCTCCCAGGGCCCGACACGGGGAAGCTATCCAGTTTCAGTATTTTCTGGGTGCTCAGAACTCTTCTTGGCGACCAAGGCGGAGGTAAGGGCCGGCCGTGGGGGGGGGGGGGGGAGGGGGCGAGGGGGCGGAGGGAGCGAGGGAGCAACCCAAAACTACCCGACGATACACCCACCGTGCTGGCCTGAGGAACGACGAGCAAGAAGCGAAGGGGGCGAGGGGGGCTGAGGGAGTGAGGGGGCGAGGGGGCGGAAGGGGCGAGGGAGCGATGGGGCGGCCAGAGGGGGGGGAGGGCCCTGGGGCGATTCAGAGATATCGACCCAGGGCGGAAAGCTGGCCCCCCCGAAAAAGGGTGTCGGGACCTCTGGGCCACGCGCTGCGAAAGTCAGATCGTCAGATTCCGTGGGAGGGAGGAGGCCGGCTGAGCGGACAGACTTGCGCCTTGAAGGCTGGCAGGCAGGGAGGGAGAGAGGGGCGAAGAAGATGGGAGCCCAGGGAAGGGGCAGGAGGAGGAAGAAGGCGGGAGGGAAGGGGGACGAGGAGGACTCTTAGGAGGAGGAGGAGGAGGAGGAGGAGGAGGAGGAGGAGGAGGAGGAGGAGGAGGAGGAAGAGGGGCGCCTCCTCGCCTGGGCGCCACCTCGCCTGGCAGACGCCAGGCGAGGAGGGGGGGGGCATCGATCTTTTGGAGGCGGCACTGCCCGCAGCGTATACGCGCATGCGATGAGGAGGAGCAGAAAGCGGGGAGATCGCGAGAACCGAGGGGTCGAACATCGAAGGAAAGGCCCCTCTCGAGAAGAACCCCACACTGAATTGGTTGGGCGGCCCTCGCCCCCCTCTGCTGGCCATGGAGGGGCCGTTCGGGGGGGGGGGGTCCAGCAAAGAAGCCTCTGGGCCTCTCCGCGGAGGCAGGTGGGAGGAAAGGGGGGGGAACATGAATTATCCCAGACTCGCCTGGAACGCGCGCACGCGCGGAACATCGCCACGTAGTCGCCGTCACCGCTGTCGGCGCCAGCAGCGGCGGCAGCAGCGGGCGCGGCGGGAGGCGCCTCCTCGGCCAGCTGGGTGCCGCTGGCCAGCACGCAGACAGGGAAGTGCACAGCGGCCCGAACCAAGAACTCGTCGGTAGGGGGAGGGTCCAAGATACGTCCCAGAGACCCCACCAGGAGCACGCGCGATCGCCGCGGTTCGGCCCGCCAGAACAGCCATAAAGGGCTGCGGGGGGGCCCCGGGTTGGAAGGCAACAACTTCTTCTTAAGCCTGGCAAGATTCGCACGGCCCTTCTTGGGCGGGGCCTTCTTACCTTGAGCAGAACAGTCAGATGACAGCCACCTGCCGTCGATCGTCGCAGCGATGCCGCAAGCCGAACAGAACATAACTCCGAACTCCTTCATCAAATGCAGACGATGGGGAGGATGGAGCTTCAAACCGCCGACGCACTGCTCACCGCGAAGCGGCTCGAAGATGGAACTGTCCGCAAAGCCCGACGGAGGCAGGCCGGCGGATCTTGCATCGGCGACGAAGGTCCGCGTGCAACCCTGAACCGCCACGGCCAGAAGCTGGGAACGGAGAACTGTTTGCTTGCAAAGTTGACACTGCCACTTGCCGACGCAGGCAGGGTCTGAGCTTGCGGGTGCTCCACTCGGGGCCAGCTCAAGCTTAATGGAAAGAAGAGCCCGCGTCTTCGACGGCCTAGTCCCCGCCCGCAGCCCGGCCTCCAAGGAACAAGTGCACGCCTCGCTCTCCGTCGAACCATGGCAGAACAATGTCATAGAAGTCAGTGCGTGGGGGTGGATTGGCGACCGCAAACACCCAAGACCACCTAGCAGCCACCCCCGCCCACTGATCAGCGCAGGCATTGCCTTGGCACAGGAAAGCACCCCACGGGGCGCGGATTCGATCAGGGTCATGCTCAACGCGAGAAGATGTCCAGGCAGTCTGGACAGCGGTGGGGCCGTGGGATTTCAAAGCCAGACCGATCCGCACCAGCAGGTCCCCGCCCAGACCGCGAGGGGCCTGAGCCCCGCCGAGGTTCCAATCAGACGCGAGAGACTTGCAATCGGTGACGTGCACGGGCGGGCCTCTGGTCTGCTCCAAGGCAAAAACAAAAACGCGAGCAACTCCGCCCAAGGGGCCGTTGGACGTCGGCCTGCCAGGGCCGCGGCAACACCGCGCCGGGGCCTCCAGAGCCAACCCGGGGCAGGCCCCTGGATCAGTGAAAGAGCGTGTTCTACCGCTGTTGGCGGAAAACCAAAGGGGGTCACTACCGGTTCGAACCCCTCCCCCCCCTCCCTCCGGAAAACCGGGGGGGGTCACTACCGGTTCGAACCCCTCCCTCCCCCCCCCCCCTCATCATGAAAAGGGCCCTTTTCATGATGAGCTGGGGGGGGTGTCACTACCGGTTCGACCCCCCCGGGGGGGGGGTCACTACCGGTTCGAACCCCCCTCCCCCCGCCCCCCCCCCTTCGAGCTCGAAAACCGGGGGGGGTCACTACCGGTTCGAAACCCCCCCCTCGAAAACCGAGGGGGGTGCGGACAGTGGTGGGGTCGGTGGTGGTGGGGACAGTGGTGAGGGGACAGCGGAACAGTGGTGGGGACAGTGGGACAGTGGTGAGGACGGTAGTGGTGGGGACAATGGTGAGGACAATGGTGGGAACAGTGGGGACAGTGGGACAGTGGTGGGGACGGTGGTGGTGGGGGGACAGTGGTGTGGGGACAGTGGGAATGTGGTGGAAACAGTAGGACAGTGGAGGGTACAGTGGTGGTGGGGACAGTGGTGAAGGCGGTGGCGAGGACGGCGGTGGGACAATGGGACAGAGGTACAGTGGGGACAGTGGTAGGGACAGTGGGGACAGTGGTGGGAACAGTGGGACAGCTCAGTGGTTCGAACCGGTAGTGATCCCCCCCTCCGGTTTTCGAGGGGGGGGGGTTCGAACCGGTAGTGACCCCCCCCGGTTTTCGAGCTCGAGGGGGGGGCAGGGGGTTAGGGGAGGGGGGGGGGGTTGCCGGGGGAAGGGGGGAGGGGGGGGGAGGGGTTCCAGCAGGGGGGGGGGATTTTCGGAGGGTTGGGGGGGGGACCCCCGGGCTCCGGAGGAAAAGGGCGGCAATTTGAAAAAAAAAACCACAAAAAAAAAAGCAGGCGGGGGCATTTTCGGAGGGGGGGGGGGGGGGGTCGAACCCCCGGGTTCCGGAGGAAAAGGCCGGCAATTTTCCACAGTAAAGCGGCGGTGGATCACGCTCTCTCGGATCAGTGCATCAACTGAAACGCCACGCCGCCTGCACCGAGGGTCCGAACTAAACTCTCCGCCCGAGCCGTCCCAGGAAACGCGCAGCGGTCGACCCTCGCAGGTCGAACTTAAATCGAGAAGCCTGGCTTCCCCCAGACGGATCTCATGGCCTAACTCAAGGCTCTCACTAAACGCGGGGACCGCGAGCTTCTTCCGAAGGACCCCATCAAGCCGCAAGGCAGGCTCGGCCTCGCGGGCCGTCATCGGGAGAAGGTAGGAGGTCAGATGAAGAGGGAATGCGGAGAAGGGGGGTGGCGAAGAGGACGTGGAATGGGGGAGGAGCTCTTTGCATTCCCCCCCCCCTCCCTGCCAGCCTTACTTTTCTCAAACTCTACGTTGTCCTTCCTCCTCTGGACGCACCAAACAAACATTAACATATCATTTCGGATGTCAGCGCCGATCTCTTGGGTCGTCGCTGGATCCGCCTCCCTCCCTGGCCCGTGGATCGTGCCACGGGCGGCGCCGCACGGGGGGGTCTGCCGCACACTCAAGGCATCCGGGCGGACCCCCCGACATGTGACGTGTTATGTTTAGCCGGCCTCCGCTATTCCGTCCTCCTCCTCCTCCTCCTCCTACTGGGACGAAGTGGGAAGGCTTGCGCAGAGGGGGCCTGCGAATCAACTCACGTGACTGAGTTTCCCGGCGCCTCGCGGCGCTGGAGGCGCCAGGGTTTCAAGGAAGGCGTACTGCGGCGGAGCCGAAACCAGCTGCATGCAATCAGCAATGCTCCCCCCCTATCGTATGATCCCACCTTCTCAGACATCCAACGTCTGAAAGATTTTACTAACGTGGCTCCCTGAAGGCCGGTTTTCACCCCGACCAATTTGCATTGGCGGTGCTGGGCCACGGAAAGTGCCACCCGCAACCAAAAATTGCCGAAGACCTCCCGTGCATGTCACGACGCAAGGATCCCACGGATTCCGATGCGACCCTCCCCATCGTCTCTCCTCCTCGTTGTCTCCTCGTTGTCCTCCTTCTCCCCCTCTTCCTCCTCGTCTTCTTCCTCCTCCTCCTCTTCCTCTTCCTCCTCCTCCTCCTCCTCCTCCTCCTCCTCCTCCTCCTCCTCCTCCTCCTCCTCCACTGCACCGCGCCGTGGCGTTGCACGCGCCCGCCGCCCTGGCAGCGCGAATGCTGCCAGAAGCGGGCAGCAGGGGCTGGCTTCCCCCTCGACCTGGGTCGGGGGCTGCGGCCCGCAGGCCGTGGCTTCAGACAAACCGCGCACGGCTTCCCGGTGGATGCCAGGCGCGAGCCCAGCAGACGCAGAAGGGGGTCCTTCTCCAGCTGCTTGCGCACGTCGCGCCACAGCGGGGGCCTGTCCTCCCGGCCCCTGAGGACCTCGGCCGGGGCCGGCCAGGAGGAGGCCGCGCACCTGCCGCCTCCGCCCGCCCTCCCGACTCCGCAGCTACGCTCTGGAACTTCTGCTCCGCGTGTCGCGGCGGCGGCCCCGGCGGCACGCGATGACACACATGGCTAGATTTAGGTCGTGCATGTCCCCCTACAGGCGGATTTGGGACGAAAAGTATAAAATAGTAAAACAATATTCCCTAATGGTCAATAATAATGAAAAGTGATCCCCTGACTATTATTTTTACTATTTTTGAATACTCCTCCTGTAGAGGGAAAGGCCCGACTTAAGGCTAGATTCATTTGCGGCCACGCCCTGAGTGCAAATGCCGACGCCCCGCAGACACGGTCATGGAAGCGCCGAGCGCTAGAATGACATCGGGCCACATGCGTCTCCAGCTTTCTGCCAGGCCAGCCACGTCATGCGTGTAGGGGGGTAGGCACAGCTGACCGTCCCGTGGTCGAGGTGGCTGGCTCGAGAAACCCTGGATCCCAAACTGTTGACATCTCGCGTCTGTTTCCGCCGCCCTCCGCCGACCCTCCGCCGGAGGACCGCCCCCGTTTTGCTTCCGACGACCTTCTGCCAGCTTCCGCCGAAGGCGAGATGCGCCAAAGGCGAGGCCCTTCCTGCCAAGCCCTGAAAAGGATGCTTCTCTTGGCACGCTCGAACTGGGTACGGAAAACATGGTACCGACAGCGGCGACAGCGGCCGCTGTTGGTCAGGGGACTGTCGTTCGAAACGGGCAGCGTCCGCGGCGACGCTGACAACGCATCCTGTCCTAAACTGGCAAGAGCTGCTGCTGGCCTTCGTGCCCACTGTCTCCGTGCCCGTGAGGCCCCCCTGGTGCAGGGCGTCCTATTCCCTGGGGCGCTGCGGCGGTACGGCCAGGAACTTCGCTTCGCGTGTTGTGTCGCTGGCTCTGGCCCGCCACGCTGCGGCACGACACGCCAGCCACGGCTCGGCCCCCGAACGTCAACGTCCCGAGCTTATCCCAAGCCTCCCGCCCCACGGAGCGCAGCGACACGCTACCCGCTTGCAGTGGTGTATCGCCGAGGCCGGCGCCGCGACACACTGAGCAACAGTTCTCGGCCAACTGCCCCCGCGACAAGCCCGGTGAATCCATCCCCTCTGACGGAAGGCTCCGCCAAGAGGGGATGCTCGGGGGCCCGAAAGACGTGTGGTGACGGACCGTGTGATGACCTCGGACTCCCCAACGACCTCACCGCGCGGTCCGTCAGCGTACGGTTTCGGGGCCCTGGAGACCCCAGTCGCCCGAGACGTCCTCGGAGAACGACCCGAGCCCCAACACCGTGCGGTGACCCCGAAGGCCCACTGACTCAACGCGCGGCGTGGTCACCGCACCATTCGGGGGCCCCCGAGATGAGCCCGCGGCCTCGCCCGACGCCCACCGGGGCCAACCAACCAACCAGCCGACCAGCCGGCCGCGGCGGACCCGCTGGCCCCCCGGGGGCCAATGGAAGCTGTCGGCGGGGCGTCGACGGCCCAACGCGGCGCTCACCACGCACTCTCATGATCGGATACGTTTTTTCAGTCCCGCATCCTCCCTCGTCCGTCTCCCCGCTCCTGCTGCTGATGCTGGTGATGCTGCGGCTGCTGCTGCTGCTGCTGCTGGTCCAACACCTCCTCCAGCTCCTCCTCCTCCTCCTCCTCCTCCTCCTCCTCCTCCTCCTCCTCCTTCTCCTCCACTCTCTCTCCATCTCCTTCCCTCCCTCCCCCTCCTCCTCCCTCCCTCACCTCCCTCCCCCCCCTCCTCCTCCTCCTCACTCCTCCTCCACCTCCTCCTCCTCCCCTCCAACTCCTCCTCCTCCTCCTCCTCCACCTCCTCCTCCTCCTCCTCGCCTCCTCCTCCTCCTCACCATCACCATCACCATCACCATCCCCATGCACCCATCACCATCATCATCATCATCATCATCATCATCATCATCATCATCATCATCATCACCATCATCATCATCATCATCCATCATCCATCATCATCATCATCATCATCATCATCATCATCATCATCATCATCATCATCATCATCATCATCATCATCATCCTCATCATCATCAGCAGCAGCAACAGCATCATCATCATCATCATCATCATCATCATCAGCATCAGCATCAGCATCATCATCATCAGCAGCATCAGCATCAGCATCAGCATCATCATCATCACCATCTTTATCATATTTATCATCTTTATCATCCGTATCATATTTATCATCATCATCAGGATCATGACCATGATCATGATCATGATCATGATCATCGTCATCATCAGCATCATCATCATCATCATGATCATGAACATGATCATGACCATGATCATCCTCCTCCTCCTCCTCATCATCAGTATCAGTATCAGTATCAGTATCAGTATCAGTATCAGTATCAGTATCAGTATCAGTATCAGTATCATCATCATCATCGTCATCATCATCATCATCATCATCATCATCATCATCATCATCATCATCATCTTCCTCCGCCTTCTCCTCCTACTCCTCCTCCTCTTCCTCCTCCTCTTCCTCCTCGTCCTCCTCCTCCTCGTGCACCCTCATTCAGCTTTCCCTCCTCCGTCCTCCTTCATCCTGGTCCTCCTGCACAAAAGCTCAAAGTCCCAGCGCCTGCAGACAGGGAGGGTGCGGAGAAGCGTTTGGCGCGCCAAATGCCTGTCGAGATGCATGTGCTCTGCATAGGCGCTGAGAGAACCACAACAAACAAGGACCATCCTCATCCTGGTCCTCCTGCTCTTCCTCCTCCTCCCCCCCGCGCCCACCCTGCGACGAGAGCGACGGCGGCGGCGGCGGAGACGAACAAGAAGACGACGATGGGGATGATGTCCACGACGGCGTCCACGACGACGACGACGTCCAGGCCGACAGCGAAGATGGCGGCAGCAGCGACGCCCCGGGGGGGCGGCAACAGGCCGCCTCACCGCCCCCGCCCTGGGCCCATCCGGAGCCTGGCCCGGCTCGGGACAGTGCACGCACTCCGGGCCTGGCCGGGGAGGCGTGCGTAGACACGGGTCCTGGGCCCAGGAGGGGCCCCGCCAGGATCGGCGGTCAGGTTAGAAGGAGGAGAAGCAACACATCCGTAGACTTCCGTACTTCTTGCCACCCAAAAGCATAAACTTCCAGAGGCCGGATGTCTTGGATCCGCGCTGCACCCCCTCCCCCGGCGGCACCCGTAGATCGCCAGGGGCGGCACCAGAGGCGTCGCCACGGGTTCCATGGCCGATCCCAGAAGCATGCGCTCCGAACGCAGACTGGTTATGCAGCTGTGCTGTGCTGTGTTCTTCTTCGACTGTTGGCAGCCCCCCCCCGAACGACGGTCGACGACCCACGAGCGACAGTTGAAGTTCCGAGAACGACGACTGACGTCCCCGACCTTTGTTCGGCCCCCGAAGAATGAGGCCGACGCCGCCCGATCGGACGACGGAGCGCGCCGATTCTACCTGGCAGCGGGACCCGTCGGTAACCCAAACCTCCGACGATGTTCCAATGCGCGACCCCAAAGGTCCCGACCCGGGCTCATCCTTGATGGCCCCAGGGACCAGCAAGGGGCCTCTCAATCAGGCCAACGTCGGGGGATCCGTGCCGGAATTGAAAACAGAACATGTCGTCGGAGATCTGGGAACCCACTCGCCTTCATCCATGCTCTTCTTTCCCTGGCTCCTATTTGACAACCTACGTAAGCCCAAACCTGTTGCCACCTCTTTTCGGCTACACGCAAGAGTGACCCTGGGTAAGAGTGCCCTTTGGTGCGCGGCTCTTTGGAACCGCGGGGGGGCCCAAAGCAAGCGCGCGAGCCGCTGCCACCGCTTCTCTTTCAGCCATCTGGGGGCCCACCTGTGCCCACACCAAAGGCCACTCCAGCGAAGGGTCACTCTTACGTCTCGTCGATCTCTGGGGCGCATCGCTTACCTCCGCTGGCTTCCGCCGGCCCTCCGCTGGCCTCCGCCGACGGAGCCGCCTCCGCTCTTCTTCCGCCGGCCTCCTGCCGAGGGAGAGGTGCGGACTCCTTCGACCCTCGAGGGCGTAGGCCTCTCGCATCTTTTTTTGTTTCGCAGCGTGGGTCCCCAGGGGAGGGGGTCTCCCCCTCCTCCGCCTCCCTCCTCCTCCCTCCTCCCTCCTCCCTCCTCCTTTTCCTCCCTCCTCCCTCCTCCCTCCTCCTTTTCCTCCCTCCTCCCTCCTCCTCCCTCCTCTTCCTCCTCCTCCTCCTCCTCCTCCTCCTCCTCCTCCTCCTCCTTCCCTTCCCTTCCCCCCCCCTCCCCCTCCTCCTCCTCCTCCTCCTCCACCTCCTCCTCCTCCTGCTCCTCCTCCTCATCATCATCCTCTCCTCCCCCTCCTCCTCCTCCACCTCCTCCTCCTCCTCCTCCCCTCCGCGGTCCTCCTCCTCCTCCTCCTCCTCCTCCTCCTCCTCCCCCTCCTCCTCCTCCTCCTCCTCCTCCTCCTCCTCCTCCTCCTCCTCCTCCTCCTGAACTGAACTGAACTCACATCGGAGGCGAACAAAACCAGTCGCTCGACTCGACCACTGGAAAAACCTGAAACAGAAATCCTTGAATGGACGTCCTGAGCGCCTCACCAAAATCGCTATAAACTTCTATGACGTCGGGCGACGGGGTCGGCGCGCGGCCGCGGGGGGCCTGGCGGCGCCCCGCTCCGTCTGCGCGGCGACGGGGTCCGATGCAGCCAGGGGGCCCGCTCGCAGGCGCTGCTGACTCTACCTATGAGCGCTTCCCCCCATCGTGAGACCAACTGCCCTTGTGGGCGATCCCACCAGAGTGGGTTCTCCGACGCAGGCTTTGTCACGAGGCGGGGGGCGCGCTCAGCAGCCGCCTGGAGCTCTCCATGGGAGCGACTCCAGGCGGCTTACCCTTTCTCGTAGGGCCTTGAGAATATGTTTTGCACGCTCACTCTCGGTGGCGCGACACATCGCAGTCACCTGCCCGATCTGTGTGCGCAGCTCCCTCAGCTCCTTCTCTGCATCTCGTGCAGGTCCTTCTGGAGGTCGCGCTCCAGCCGCGAGCGCGGGGGCTGTCCCTGGGACGTGATGGCCTGCTCGTGGTCGAAGATGCGGAGCATGGCCGTGCGGACGTCCCTCGTGACGATCGGGCACACCCCCATGTCGCCCACACACCGTGGGCCCTCGTCCTCCGTCTCCTGCATCTCCTGCTTGGTGTGTCCCACTCCGTGCGCCTTCAGCCACTTCAGGTCCTCGAGCGGGCGCATCGTGAGCGGGTTGATCGCCATCGTCAGCTTGCTGTAAGCCGCCATCGCCTCGCTCTCGTCGACGCGGGCCCGCCTCAGTCGGAACGCCCTGAAGAGCTCCCCCGTCAAGTACGGCAGCTCCTCCAAGGCGTCGTTGAGCAGCTGCATCACGCACTGAGCGAGCCGCACCTGCTGCCCGTTGCCTAGGTCGACCTTCGCCAAGCTGTTGACCACGGCTTTCGCCACCTGGATGTGCGGGCTGCCGAGCTCCTTCGGCGAGTACGTCTTGGACTCCACCGCGTCGTTGTACTCTTTGCCGCGGGCCACCGCCGCTTTGACCGTCTCGCTGTCGACGGGGATGAGGCGGAATTCGTACAGCGCGCCCTCGAGCCCGCGCTGCCCTTGCATCGTGTTCAGCACCCCCTCTCCTCCTCCTCCTCCTCCTCCTCCTCCTCCTCCTCCTCCGCCTCCTCCTCCTCCTCCTCCTCCTCCTCCTCCTCCTCCTCCTCCTCCTCCTCCTTCCGCCTCCTCCCGCCTCCCCTCCGCCTCCGCCTCCGCCTCCGCCTCCGCCTCCGCCTCCGCCTCCGCCTCCGTTCCGCCTCCGCCGCCGCCTCCGTTCCACCTCCGCCTGCGCCTCCGCCGCCGCCGCCGCCGCCTCCGCCTCCGCCTCCGCCTCCGCCGCCTCCTCCTCCTCCTCCTCCTTCCCTCCTCCGCCTCCTCCTCCTCCTCCTCCTCCTCCTCCTCCTCCTCCTCCTCCTCCTCCTCCTCCTCCTCCTCCTCCCCCCTCCTCCTCCCCCTCCTCCTCCTTTTCCTCCTCCTCCTCCTCCGCCTCCTCCCCCTCCCTCCTCCTCCTCCCTCCTCCTCCTCCTCCTCCTCCTCCTCTTCCTCCTCCTCCTCCTTCCCGGGACCCGCTCCTCACCCCACGGGCAGCTCCTTGACAGGCCGGGGCCCGACAAATAGGCCCTGCAGAGGCCGAGAGCTGCCGAACACCTCCCGCCGCAAGTCTTCCACGGCGAGCCCCCGAGACCCGACGCAGCGGCCTAGAGGGGAGTCTCATCGGGAGCGGGAGCGGCCAAGAGGGGGGCGTCCAAGAGGGGAGGGTGCAAATCATGACCGGCGGCACGTGCGCGGCCCAGCGGGTGGGCCAGGGACGTAATTGAATAAGAAGAGGCGCCGCGAAATCTGGGGAAATATCATGGCCCCGCCATGATATCCACCCCCCCCTTGTCATCACCCCCCTCTTTGCCACCCCCGATGTCTTCCTGGACGACTTTGAGAGCCGGAACGGCCTGTGAAAGTCTGGATCCCGAAATGAAGCGGCATCACCCATTGCGGAAAGAATGCAACGCCCAGATCTGAGGGGTGGAGGGGGGAGGTCATCCGTTTTTCTGTTTTCCAAGATTTTGTTAAAAACCAAAGGAAACACTCGCCAACAAGTTGCAAATGGCACCTACAGTCCGTTGCCTCCGCCACGAACAAACCGAAATTCTGGCTGTGATTCATGCGCGACGGAACCCAACATCGAGGCCAGCTGCGAAAGAGCACTTGCCATCGGTGCCCTTGTGGGGTCGGCACGGGGATAGACAAGCGCACAGACATGAAGGAGGAGAAGGAGGAGGAGGAGGAGGAGGAGGAGACACCTGAAGGCAGATGGCGAAGGATACGAATTAACCCTAAAACGCATCATCCCCTGGCCTGCCAAACTGATGGGGGGAGGTCATCCGTACTTTCGTTTCTGTGTGCTCTTCGACGGCTGTCGCCCCCCCCGAGGCGGCGGCGGCGGCGGCGGCAGCGGCGGCGGCGGCAACAACAACGACGAGAACGACAAACACAACGAGGACGACGAGGACGACGAGGACGACGAGACGACGACGACAACGACGACGGCGACGACGACGACGACGACGACGGCGACGACGGCGACGACGACGACGACGACGACGACGACGACGGCGACGACGACGACGACGGCGGCGGCGGCGGCGGGAGGCTGCGGGCGGGCGCCCCGAGGGGCGCGCGTGCGCCACCAGGGCGCGGAACTCCCGCTGCTCGGCCTCGCGCTCCTGGCGCTGCGCGGCGGGCGCGCGGGGAGGGCGAGGGCCGCCAGCGGCAGCCGGGGGGTCGTCGTGGGCCGTCGTTGGTCCGGGGGGTCGTCGTGGCTTGCGAGGAGGAGGAGGAGGAGGAGGAGGAGGCGGAGGAGGAGGCGGAGGAGGAGGCGGAGGCGGAGGAGGAGGCGGAGGCGGAGGCGGAGGAGGCGGAGGCGGAGGCGGAGGCGGAGAGGAGGAGGAGGAGGAGGAGGAGGAGGAGGAGGGAGGAGGAGGAGGGAGGAGGAGGAGGAGGAGGAGGAGGAGGAGGAGGAGGAGGGGGGGCGGTTCGCCGACGTGCGTCAGGGCCGTGCGGGGAGGGGCGGGGCGGGGGGGCCAGCCGGCGCCGACGGCGACGCGCACGGCGTCGGCGGGCGCGGGGGGAGGCGAGCTGCGAGGCCAGACAGGGGGCCACATGCGAGCCCCACCCCTACCCCCCCACGATGCACGACTTCCGAGGGGGAGGGTGGGTTTCCCTTCGCTCGGGAGCTCCCGAGCGAAGCGAACCCCACCCTCCCCCTTAGAAATCGTGGAGGGTATGGGTAGGGTTCGCCTGTGGCCCCCTACTAAACCTCCTCGCGCTGTGAAACAAAAAAATCACGACGGGAGACGTTTCGCTGTTTTCGGCCTCTGGGGGCCCTTCCCTGGCCTCGGGGCGGTCAAGAAACAGCTCAGGATGGAACACCAGCCCCCGGGAAGGGGTCCAGGCCTCTGGGGGTCGAGGTTGTGAAAAAATCACGACGTCGGGGGTAGGGAAGCCTGCGGCTCTGAGGGACAACGATTGCCAGCTCCAGACGGTGGACCCATGCCTCTTCGAGTCGTGAATAAACATCCCGACGGACGGCTTCTTCCCACTATCGGCCTCCGTACGGGGCCCCGCTGGGCCCCGGGACCATCAACAGAAAGACTCGGGATCAAAGACTGGTTCCGTGGGTAGAATCTCGACCTCTGGGGGTGCACGTTGCGAAAAAAACACGTCGTCAGAGGGGGACCAGCTCAGGAGGGGGGGGACATCGACATGGAATCGGCGATAGGTCGCCGATGGGAGATCGGCGATGTGCCCCTGATAGCATCTCCGCACGGTCCTGGGGGGAGTGGGCTGTCGCCATCAACAGGGGCAGTCCCCTCTGGCTGCGGAGGCGCAGAGGGTCGCTCCACCCCCTGGAACTCCGCCAGTCCCTTGCATTCCTGCCGAGTGTTGCCAGAGGTGCCCCTGGCCCAAGGTGGCCCCAGGATTTCCAGGGAGGCCCAGGTGGCATCCAGGATGCAGCCCACCACGAGGCACAAATGGCCCCATGGGACCCCAAGCAGCTCGAGGAGCTGGGGACACCGTGGGCCAAGAACATCTCTGCCCCCGCCCCCCCGCCCCCCCTTCCGCGAGATTGTCGCTTTCCCTTTCCTCCAGTTTGGCTCGACCACTCGCGCCTGCGGGCTTTCTCCCTCGAAGGCTGGGCATGCTCGTTGCCCGCTCGGCTAGCGTGCTGTCCGTTCATGCAGCAAGGCCAACGCCCGCGGCTTGGGGCGTACGGTCAGGATATGATGCTTAGCATGTCGCGGCGGCGGCCCTGGCGACACGCCATGCGAGCGGATGGCGTGTCGCTCCGGTCCGCGGGGCGGGAGGCTCGGAAAAACTTGGGACGTTGGCGCAAGGGGACCCTGAAGTGGATACCGTGTCGCGCCGAACCGTGGTGGCCGGGAACCGGCGGAGCGACGCGCTATCCAAGAGTTACCAACTGTAAAGGAGGAGGAGGAGGAGGAGGAGGAGGAGGAGGAGGAGCGTACGTAACCAAGGCGACAGTGTTCGTGTTAATTCATGGATGCAGCTGCACGCGCTGCCGCACGAGCCTGGTGAACCTGGCCAGGAGATGCGCACGCTTGCATGCCGAGATGGGGCCGAATCTTATGATAGATTTGATATGCAAAAACAATGCGCCGAAGCTTCTGTCCTCCAGTCCCTCGAAGTCAGACTCGCCCCCAAACCAAGTCGAACCAACGAGGGCTCGGGGAAAGAACCGTGAGTTGGAGGTCGGCCCCATGCCATAGCACTGGGCGCAATCTCTCTCTCTCTCTCTCTCTCTCTCTCTCTTTTTATCTTTTCCCTACCTAGGCTCTGCCTAGAAGGGTTCTTACTTTATAAGCTTAAAGGGCCGGGCAGTGTTCCTCGCCCCGGGCGGTTCCCCCGTCATCCGCCCCGCGGTTCCCCCAGTCCCCTGGGAGCTTTAGCTTTAGCTTTAGCTTTAGTTTTACCTTTAGCTTTACCTTTAGCTTTAGCTTCTAGCTTTACCTTTAGCTTAGCTTTAGCTTAGCTTTAGCTTGGCTCTAGCTAAGCTTTAGCTTAGCTTTTGCTTCGCTTTAGCGTAGCTTTAGCTTAGCTGTGCATTCGATTTAGCTTAGCTTTAGCTTTAGCTTTAGCTTAGATTTAGCTTAGCTTTAGCTTAGCTTTAGCTTAGCGTTAGCTTAACTTTAGATTCAGCTTAGCTTTAGCTTAGCTCTAGCCTAGCTTTAGCTTAGCTTTACCTTTAGCTTTAGCTTAGCTCTAGCTTCGCTCCAGCTTAGCTTTAGCTTAGCTTTAGCTTAGCTTTATACTAGCTTTGGCTTAGCTTTAGCTTTAGCTTTAGCTTTAGCTTTAACTTTAGCTTTAGCTTTAGGCTAGCATTGGCTTAGCGTTAGCTTTAGCTTTACCTTTAGCTTTAGCTTAGCTCTAGCTCAACTTCAGCTTAGCTTTAGCTTAGCTTTAGCGTAGCTTTAGCTTAGCTTTACCTTAGCTTTAGCTTAGCTTTAGCTTAGCTTTAGCGTAGCTTTAGCTTAGCGTTAACTTAGCTTTAGATTTAGCTTAGCTTTAGCTTAGCTTTAGCTTAGCTTTAGCTTAGCTTTAGATTAGCTTCAGCTTAGCTTTAGCTTAGCTTCAGCTTAGCTGCAGCTTAGCTTTAGCTTAGCTTTAGACTATCTCTATCTTAGATTTAGCTTAGCTTTAGCTTTAGCTTTACCTTTAGCTTTAGCTTAGCTTTAGCTTAGCTCTAGCTTAACTTTAGCTTAGATTTAGCTTAGCTTTAGCGTAGCTTTAGCTTCGCTTTACCTTAGCTTTAGCTTAGCTTTCGCTTAGCTGCACCTTAGATTTAGCTTAGCTTTAACTTAGCTTTAGCTCAGCTTTATATTTAGCTTAGCTCTAGCCTAGCTTTAGCTTAGCTTTAGCTTAGCTTGAGCTTAGCTGCAGCTTAGCTGTAGCGTAGCTTTAGCTTAGCTTTAGCGTAGCTTTAGCTTAGCTTTAGCTTAGCTTTAGCTGTAGCTTTAGCTGTAGCTTCACCTTCAGCTTTAGCTTTAGGCTAGCTTTAGCGTAGCTTTGGCTTAGCTTTAGCTAAGCTTTAGCTTAGCGTATCTTAGCTTTAGCGTAGCTTGAGCTTCTAGCTTTACCTTACCTTTAGCTTAACTTTACCTTAGATATAGCTTAGATTTAGCTTAGCTTGAGCTTAGCTTTAGCTTAGCTTTAGCTTAGCTTTAGCTTAGCTTTGGCTTAGCTTTAGCTTTAGATTTAGCTTTACCTTTAGCTTTAGGCTAGCATTAGCTTAGACTTAGCTTTAGCTTTACCTTTAGCTTAGCTCTAGCTTAACTTCAGCTTAGCTTTAGCTTAGCTTTAGCGTAGCTTTACCTTAGCTTTAGCTTAGCTTTCGCTTAGCTTTCGCTTAGCTTTAGCGTAGCTTTAGCTTAGCGTTAACTTAGCTTTAGATGAGCTTTAGCTTAGCTTTACCTTAGGTTTAGCTTAGCATTAACTTAGCTTTAGCTTAACTTTAGAGTTAGCTTAGCTTTAGCTTAGCTTTAGCTTGGCTTTAGTTTAGCTTCACCTGAGCTTTAGCTTAGTTTTAGATTAGCGTTAGCTTAGATTTAGTTTTGCTTAAGCTTAGCTCTAGCTTGGCTTTAACTTGGCTTTAGCTCAGCTTCAGCTTAGTTCTAGCTTAGCTTTAACTTAGATGTAGCTTAGCTTTAGCTTAGGTTTACTCTTTCTACTAATGCTGCTTTCCTAGAGGCTCCAACTCCTAGGTAGGGTCGCACTGGGATTTTTTTTGTGTTCTCTCTCTCTCTCTCTTTCTCTCTCTCTCTCTCTCTCTCTCTCTTTCTCTCTCTAGATATAGGTATTTACGTAGATGTGTTGGGCAATCGAATCATGGCTGGAACCGCCGAAACAACACGAGCGCTGTGCTAAGATCTGGACCTTTCCATTGGTGATCCACATTCCTGCGATGGTGAGGTGAGGGCAGGCGCGGGAGGTGGCCTGACAGAAAAAGATGCTACGCAGACGCTCCCATCGGAGGCTCATGCCACTAGAGGAGGGGAGGTCGATGTCGGACAACCAAAAGGAGAGGCGACGCGCTAAAAGGACGGGCATGACATCTGCGATGGTCTGGGACTGGAGGGAGCGTGAAAGGTGAACCTGGAAACAAAGTGGCTTCTTCCTTTCGAGCGCAGCACCTGCCGCTGCTTCAACCTGCCCATGCGCTCGCCGAAGGATGGGCGTGGGGAAGGGGAGGCGGGTCAGGGGTCAGAGGGATGGGGGGCTCAGAGGACGGGGTGAAGAATGCGGCGGGACGCTGAACGATCGGGGTCCAGACACGTCTAGACACGCCAGCAACGCGCACACCACTTCTCTGAACGCAATCGCTCGAAATGTCTTCCCCGGGATCCGAAGCGGGATGACATGCTCGCCACATGAAGGATACGCCTGCGGCCTTCAGGGGTCGGGCCCTCGAAGTCAGCGGAGAGACTGCGAAGGTCAGAGAGTCGGAAGCAGCGCATGTAGCGCGCGCGACTCGCGCTGCAAAAACTTCCCAAGGGAGGGGGGGCATTAATTGAGCAACACATCAAACAGACGTGTGAGAATCAGCACTCGGCTTTGGGCCAGACTCGCGTCAGTCGTAGCACGCGCCGCTGCCACGAATCTGGGGCGTGACCCCCAGTCCTGGCCACCTGAAGCAAATTGGTCAGAG